TTTATTTTAAAATAAAAAACTACTATTGTTATAAATAACACATTCAATTGAACTAAACTATGAATGCCTATTTAAATATATTTACACATGGCTTGTGTATATCGTATATATACATATATATTATTCATACCTTCGGTGTATAGGACGCAAGCAGATTTTGACATCAAATTTTGGGGTAAAAAAAGTGCGTCTTATACACCAAAAAATACGGTAAGTTAATGTTTCTCTCTAAATTTAAAATGCAAAGTCAACATTTGGATTTTCATTTATTTTCTTAAAGCCATTAAAAAGATTAAAATAGGGAATTTCAATATAATTTAATATACATTATTAAGCAAATAATTTCGCAATCAATAAAGAAATATTTTGTAACAAAGTTACATATATCTAGAAAGACTATATATATTATTAAATAACATATATTTATACATTACCCATAATACATTGGTGATGATCAAAAGCCTTTTCATTGGCTTAGGACCTCTTGTCAGTAAATATGAGAAAACTGAATGAGTTAGGTTTAGGTTACTTTGTAACGCACATATGTCTTACGTACATGTACTACGTGAAATGTGCACAGTTATATACGCCTTAGGCCTAACACTAAGTAACACAACCGTGTTATGTCTGATGTTCTAAATATGTTTACAACCGATGTTGTCATGACTGAATTACCTGTACATTTGTGACATGGAGTATGGAATTCGTACATAATATATATATATACTTGGGACTTATCGGGACCATATCATTTATATTGTTCTCATTAATCATAGTAGTTGTAATATTCCTTTATGCATTTGTAGTGTGCATATATTGCCCTCAAAAATCACCTCTTTTCAAATTTGGGAAAAGATTTCTGATTGTAATTGCACATCCCGACGATGAATGCATGTTTTTTGCTCCTGCCATTCAACAGATAAAATCAGCTTTTTCAAGACATCCAGAAAATTTTACAGATATTTATATTTTGTGTTTATCCATAGGTGAGACAGAGCAGTTAATACATAAATTTAGTGTTTTGTTATTTGTAACTAATTCTTGTTAAAATATATATATTTCCTCAATTTACGTTACTTCTATTATTTTCATCCACCTTTACTTTTTAATCTGGAATGTTGTAAGTTTTCTTTTACAAATGTTTTGATGATTTAAGTGTGCGATTACGAGTTTTACATCTTGACCTTTGAAACTTCTAACCATTACTCTGGCTAAATATGCAGAGAAGAAATTTGTATGTTAATAATGTAAAAACGTTTTACTTCTGCCTTAACTCAAAAGTAAGTTTGTCACGAGTGGCATAACACAATGTGGTTAGGTTTAAAAAATGAGATCTAGCTATGTCAGTTTAATTTTCTTCACTTTTGGGCTGGCATGGCCTGATGATTAGGGTACTCGAATTGCAATCTGCAGGTTGCGGGTTCGAATCTTTGTCACTGAATGTGCTAGCTCTTTCAGCAATTATAATGTGACAGTCATTCCCAATATTTGTTGGTAAAAAATTAACCCAAGAGTTAGCAGTCAGTGACGTTGACTAGCTGCCTTTCCGCTAGTCTATCACTGCTATATTAGGCATAGCTGTCCTCCATTGTAAAACTCTATGAGTAGAAAAAGAAGATGACAAACAGGATTGAATTAATCACATAATTATCTTAAAGCACTTCATTAAATGAAACGTGCTCTTTTTTTTTTAAATGAAAATGTACGTGAACTAACAAATTTTTCTTCATTCTAGGTGATTTCTATAAACAAGGTAACATCAGGAAGAAGGAATTAATACAGAGCTGCAGCATACTGGGAGTGCCTTCAGGAAACGTTTTTGTTATTCAACATACGTATGTATTCGATAACTTTCCATCAAATTGACTTAATGTAAACAATTTATAAGAGAATTGTAATTTCTGAAAATTTTTGGCTTCACGAAACTGTAGACTAGTTTCTTATGGGTAATTGTATAACAACCATAAAATAAAAATGCTGGAATCTCCCTTTTTACAGTTTGTAAACAGGAAAATAATCAACATATATATATATATATATTTTGTGCCTAAATAACACATGAAAAACAAGGAACTATTTGGTCTTTTAAACCTATTCCTATACACCACCCCTAATTTTAAAAAAAAAGTATAAATTATACCGTACCATTATTATTCAGGAAATTACAACTTTTAAACTCGTGCAAGGTGCTGGCCTCTGCTATTGATTATGGCTAAATTAATTCATAAATTAATTACCAATTTAGAAAAATAGAACTGTCTTAAACTGGAGCCTTGTCTTCTCCAAATCATAGAATTTGTGCCATTTTGTCCTGTAGCTTTCAGAATTCAGCACAAAGAAAACTGAGACCTTCATCCTACTTATCCCACATCTAACCTTGTAAACTGTAATAAGATCACTTTCTACCCTTCTTTTTTTAAGATGAAATACATTCAGAGGTCTTAACCTATTCCCATAAAATGACCCTTTCCTGGAATCAGCATAATAGCATCTGAACTGTTTATAAAAAGTCACTGTTCTTATATATGGAGAGAAAACTATACAATAATCTGAATCTTAGCTATATTAAACGTGTCATCCAAACTATATAGCAATTACTGTAATTAAAGGCTATTTGTCAAACTTACTACTTGGTCCAAGTCATTCTGTAATACTTCAACATCCTTATTACAGCTATAAATAATCCAAGAGTTTAATGTCATTTACAAACTTTGCTAATTACACCCCCTATCAGTGTAAGAAAAAACAGAGGCATAAGTACTGGTTCTTGAGGCACACTGTAAGTCCAGAAAAACTACCAATAGCAGTGTTTTGTACATTCTGGTCATTACAAGTTTTTGTACAACTTTTTGTGATTGAAATTGTCTTGCTTTCAGTTCTGTTCAGCTAGAAGTGTTAAGTTAATAATAATAATAAAAAAAAACATGCTTAGAGAATTATATAGCATTTTTTATTGTTCAAGAGGACCTTTCTAATCTGAAAGACTTCAAAATTATAAAGATAAAGCCTTATAATTGATAAAGCCTTCCCTTACATTTATTGCATCCATCACATCTAAAAGCAACTCATTCCAATAGCTGACCAACCACCCTGTTGGAAAAATACAACAGTCTTAGCTGAAAATTACTCCGACCCTGTTGTTTTATTGGAACTTTAGGCAGGATAGAGATGGGAGATTTCAACACTTTAATGAACTGCAACTACCCGTGTAAAGAAAATGAGATGATGTTTCCACGTTATATTTTTGTTCCCTAGTCCCACCGTTCTCATCATTAACTATGAAAAATATGATACATCAACACTATCAATTCCTTTACAATTTTAAACACCTCAGTCAGATCCCCTCTAACTCTTCTTCATTTGTTTTTCAGGAGAAAACAATTTCAATTTGACCAACCATTCATTTGCTAAGTACAATCTGTTATTTATTATTGTATTTAATTTCCAACATTTTTTTTAATATAAAGTTTCCTATAAAATTGTGTTCATCTAATGAACGGTATGCGTAAGTTTGTATTATATTCTGTAATTGTAGATAGTTTCCTTAGTTTTGTTCTCCTTTTTTTCATCATTAAATATTTTCTTGATTTTTAAGGAATTATACAGATCTTTTTTAAAACTAACCTTTCTTTGAGTTTTCATTTTGAAATTATAAAAGATTGGATGCTGAAAGCCTAGAAGGTAGTATCAGGTTTTCTTATATAGATGATAGTCTAAAATATATATATATATATTTGGCTGATGAAGACTTATAGGTTTGTTTTCTTTCCTTTAGAGGATCCAAAGTAATATTTGGCATAAAACTAACAAATCTTTGGATGGGGGTATGTGTGAAAACTGATCGATTTATTACAGAATAAAATATGTGAATACTTGTAGTTGTATATTTGTGTACCTATTTTAATTACTGGTCAACTTCAAGCAAGATATTAAGCAGGTGATACAATGTTGCAGTAGCAAGAACTAAATGTTTGGAGGTAGTCGTAACTTAGGCCTGTCCATACATTATAGTTACCTGAGTGTTTGAGTTGTAAAAAAACACTAAGTTGTAGTAACACACTTTTGGAAACTACTTTTAAGTAAATTGTAAGTAAATACAATGACTCGCATCTGGATGTAAATATAGTAATTAATAACTAAAGACATCTCATAAAATGTAGTTTATTTTTTTGTAGCAAGATGCCGGACAGTCCTCACTGTGTTTGGAGGGATGACCTGGTAGGAAGGATCATTCTCAAATACACAAACATGCTATCTGTAGATGTTGTAAGTTGATGATCGTTTGAGAATATTCTGAAAGATGGCTGTTAGAAACAAACGTTTTCCTCGAGTATGATTTTTTCGAAAGCTAATAACCGATAACTTTTTAATCAAGAAACACTAACTATCACCCGTTACAGATCAGAGTACTTAAATAAGGATCCAGAGGAGATGTATTAGCCAGGATGACCCCAGGGATGGAAGGATTATCTTATAGGTTTAGGCTAAGATCTTTGAACTAGTTTTCTTTTTTGGGAAAAGAAAGTAAAGAAGTGATCTTATCAAAGTTTACAATATTTCCTTGTGGAATGTTAAGCTTCTCATTTCTATATGCTGAATTTTGAAGACAGTAAGACGTGAGCTTAAAATTCGGATTGAGAGTTGAGCCTCCATTTAAAGATAGTTTTTTTCTAACGGGGGTGATTAGCGTATTGAATGAGTTGACGTCAGCAGTAGTGAAGGGCCGGCACCTTGCAAGAGTTTGAGAGGGGGATCGATAATTTCTTGAAAAATAATGGGTAGGTTTAATTTTTTGCTTCTTTCTTGGATTGGGTGTACAATACAATTTTCAATAACTGTCATTTATTAGAAAACTATAAAAAAAAATATAAAGTAAGATTCCAAGAAACAAAGAGTAGAAATTATCGTCCTGCGAAACAAAATGGGAACTTGTGGTATAATTTTTTGTGAGTTAAAAAATACTGACATTTATTATTTATGCTATCATGTACATTTACTTTTCAAAAGCCTGCAAGTAATCTAAACAATGCCAGAGAAAATAGAAATAAATGGTTGAGTTGTGGACAGATTTCTGTTTCAGTTTCTAAAAAAATGCAGACTTTATTTATTGATGTAAATGTAGTTTTAAGTTTTCTAGATAATAAACCACTCGCGCTAGACTATACATTGTACCAGCATCGGTTGTAAAAAAGTAAGTAATGTTTTATGAAGTCTTTTCCCAATAGGTGATCTCTTTTGACGAACGTGGAGTCAGTGGACATCCGAACCACATATCTCTATTTAACGGATTGAGGTACGCATATTTATTAATTAGAACATTGTTGCCTCTAACCATATATATTAATTCCAGTTTTAATAACGTTATTCAATGTAAAACCTTTGATTTAAGTGAGCTTGATAAGTATATGAATCATATGCGGTGGTCTTAGGATTTTTTTTTTTTAATTTATTTATTAATAGTTTAGTTCAGAAGATGAAACAGTTGAGATAGACCAATAGGTCCCATGTTGTTCCAAAACGTTATGTTATGTTTTGATAAATAATTTTCAAGTATATTTCTGCGAGCAAAACAGTGGATAACTTGCTTCATTAGTAAAATGTCATGCACTTTAGAAGTAGGCATCAGTATAAAATTAAATAATGTCTCATGCATTTCGTACAGTAAGAGTAAGTGAGGGAAGAGAAGTCATTAATTGTCACTCAGTATTAGTTGTCTTTGGACGTGAACTTTTTGTAAGTAGTTTTACAACCTAGTGATTGTTTTCAGCTAAATAAACTTGGTTAATAAATTCAGAAGCTGTTGACAGTCATTAGGTGCGATATTTCTCGTTACGATTCTTAACTTTGTTTGACGCAAACTGGAGTTTATTACGAGACATTTATATAAACATAAATAAAATCATATCCTATGTATCCAGAATGTAACTTTATCAGCTCAAAATTTCAATATCACAGGTTTGTCAAAGCTCTTATTATGAAATTCTGATAACAATGTATTTGTGCTTTAATTTAGTTATCTAACAGATGAAGACCTAGTACCTGTAGGTACGAATATCTCTTTTTTTGTTTTATAAGTTAGAACAATACATATAGTTTCTCATTAATGTTTTTAGTAAGTAAATGAAGATTTCAAGTGTTGTATTTTTTTTACTATATTTAATGGACATAAATATTTGTTCAGTGTGTAAAGCTATTTAAAACATTTGTTAAGATATGGTCACGTGTGGACGTAGATTACACGATCTGTATTTTATTACCTTACTACTCTGTAATTTGTGAATGACCGTTTCAATGTATCTTAATCGTTCAGATGTTAAAACTCGAGGTTTTCGATATAATTTCTGTGGAGAGCTTTTAAGTGTAAGTAAATGTATTTAGTTTTTATATCTTCAACTCTAGTTGAACATGATTCAAAACTAGCTTTTTGTACTTGATCTGTTTTTCTCAACATACTTTTAACGGAACCACAAATTTATTTACTTCAGGCTGCAGGTTTCTTCTACTGAAAACAGTGAATAAGCTGAGAAAGTATTGTAGTGTTTTTGATTTCCCACTCAGTGTCTGTGAAGATGGTTGCGTCTTAATTTCATGCCCCCTTTACATTCTGCGCGCCCAGGTGAGAACTTTAGATATCAACGTGGTAGTCGCTAATTCATCGTATAGCACCCAAGTGAAATTTCTAAAATTTGAAAAAATGGTTAAAATTAAAATAAAATAACTTCAGAAGCGAAATTAATTGGTTTGTTGAACTGCATTAAATGTTTTTACATATTAAATAAAATCATTAATGCTAACTCTGTCTTTCTAAACATATGTTTACACTAAATTGATAGAAATCTTTGGTTACTGTTAAAACAGTATGGAAAACGACTTAAGAAAAACAAAAGAAACTCAAAAAACCTTGTTTTATCTTCAGTATCCCACAATTCTTCATAATTTGTTACAACCTTGAGATTCTGTTTCTTTACCAATAAACCAAAACTTTTTTTTTTCAGAGAGCAATGAGAGCCCACTCTAGCCAGCTAGTGTGGTTCAGATGGCTGTACATCTTTTTCTCTCGTTACATGATTATCAACAGTCTCGTTGAACTGAAGAAGAAGAATAAAACAGATTAGCCATACAATAAGTGTTTATTGTCTTATTATACCCTACTCTAACCTTCAGATATTTTAATTTCTAAGCAAGGATTGTTTAATGTTAGTAACACAAAAGAGTAGTTTTGTACTATTTACTAAAGATCATTGCGCTTATCCTTAACAGTATTTTGTATTTTATACAATAAATCACAGTTTTGAAGATATACAAAGGTTTATATTAAAGGACCACATTGTCCATCATCCTCACTTATATTTTAAGCAGTTGAAAATTTAATTTCCTGTTAAATCGACGGTCTCTTATACTGAATAATCTCTCGTACATGTGTGCATATGTGCTCGTACCAAGAAGCTCTTAGGTGTTTAAAAATATTCAGCAGATGTTCCATAAATAAACTTACATTTTAACATGTAAAAAAAAGATATATGTGTGAGGTATATATATAGTATAACTTTAAGTATCACAATATTTTTTTCCTTGACTTTTTTCTATTTTGTAATTTATAACAATAAAAGAGATGGAAAAATTATTGAGGTAGCTTTATTAAGAAACGCGTGACCATAAATTTATCAAAATTTGTAGTGTTGAGTTTTACCAAGACTGATACAATAATTTTAATGTATAGTACTTTTTTCTTCCTTGAAATCAAATGCCAGTTATTGCCAGTATACACAGCCAGATATATATATATACTTATATGAAAGAGACACAGAACCTAAAATCACATTTATTTTGTGAAATAACACAATTAAACCTGATCAATTACAAATAGTTAACACTATCAGAGATAAATTATTTTGTATAGTAGAATAGGATACGTTAGTGGTTCTTAATCTTCTTTTTTTTTTTTGTTTATTTATCTCTGTGGACCATTATGGGATCTGTATGCTACGCTGTTGCTTCCGTTCCGTGGACCACCCGAGGAAAGTTGGGGGTAGGTGATTAAGTAACTTCGTATAGATTTGCAGAATGATGACACATTAATATCTGGCTGTGGTAACAGATTATATGTGGCTCGGTAATAAATATGTAAAACCTGCATGGAATTTGTGTTGGTGGGATACAAAGAACACATGTGTTGGTGGGGTACAAAGAACACGTGTGTTGGTGGGGTACAAAGAACACGTGTGTTGGTGGGGTACAAAGAACACGTGTGTTGGTGGGGTACAAAGAACACGTGTGTTGGTGGGGTACAAAGAACACGTGTGTTGGTGGGGTACAAAGAACACAGTATTTGCCTCTGAGTAAATGAATTGAGTGTATGGTGTAATTAACTAATTAATTAATCTAAATTCAATATGATAGTCATTGTACCTGTTCAATCCACGGGGAATGGTGCAGAAGGTCAGATCCAAACAAATACACCCTCCCCGAGAGGGGGTTATTAAAGGTACATCCTAGGATTTGTGACAGTCATCCAGCAGTTTGCTAGTTAGAAGCTGATACAACACGGGGGAAATACGCAGAGGGTCAGGTCCAAACTCCAACCCCATCTGAGGGCCTTAAGGATACACGACAGGTATGGTGACAGTCAGTCTGACAGCTCACCAGTTGTAAGTAGACACACATACAGACTTTTGTCAAATAGCATTCAGTATATCAACCTATGAATAATCATGTATGTAGATGTTTGTTAGTAAGGGCCACCATCTACAGATCTGAAATAATCACGTATATAGATGTTTGTTACCATGGGCCACCATCTACAGATCTGAAATAATCACGTATATAGATGTTTGTTACCATGGGCCACCATCTACAGATCTGAAATAATCACGTATATAGATGTTTGTTACCATGGGCCACCATGTACAGATCTGAAATAATCACGTATATAGATGTTTGTTACCATGGGCCACCATGTACAGATCTGAAACAATCATGTATGTAGATGTTTATTACCAAGAGCCACCATCTACAGATCTGAAATAATCATGTATGTAGATCTTTGTTAGTAAGGGCCACCATCTACAGATCTGAAACAATCATGTATGTAGATGTTTCTTAACAAGGGCCACCATTTCCAGGTGTGATTCAGCCTAAGATGTTATTTGTACAACCGACAAGTATGAAACACATTTTTATGTGTTGTGAATGGTCTCCGTGAAACTTGATGGCCTAGCATTGAAATTCTTTGCATCCATCAACTGTGTAAGTCACTTGGTGCTGACGGATTATTAGCCTATCAGTTAGGTTTCTGAACTGAAGATGTTTCGATTCTAGTCAACTTTAAAGAATTTATTATTTTAATCTTTGAGTTCACTGTCACTCAAAAACTAGCAGTTGTTTACTACGTACTGGAACATTTAAAGCAACTGCTTCCATATTAACTGGACTTTTGTAGCTTATTTTCATCACAGTCTGAACTTGTAAAAACATTTTTTACTGTAAATTGCTACAACAGAAGATGTTACCACAATGCCATTTCAGAGTGCATAAATGTTTGTTTCCATTAAGTGTTTAGTTAATGGAATCTGTCATTGTTAATGTCCACTTTGGTATCTGTTTCGTAATTATGTTACACTGTATTTACCACCTTTGTATGTAGTTCGTACTTGAGAATCACTTTAAAATGACCTGTTGCAATATTTGAAAATACTTGACCATGAATAAAAAAAAGGTTAATGTTTAATGCTTTATTCACATCCTCTGTGTGTTGATACAAGGAAATTCAACATAAACATTCAATGCCGTCATAATGAAACTACTAGTTCACATTTAAGGTATAACAAGAGACTTGTTGGTCCATCAAGACTGTTCCATCCAAATTATAAAAAAAACACATAAATCCAGCCCTGATTGTTTAAATATTTATCAAGCCATACTTTAAACTCCCTTGAATTTACTGCATCCAGCACATCTCAAGGCAATTCATTCCAAAGACAAACCATCGTGTTAAAAAAGTAAAACTTTCCTATTTGAAGATTACTCCTACCCTACCAAAATTTATATTTCTGCCCTCTCTAATTTAGCAGTGAAAGACTAGGGGAAAGGCAGCTAGTCATCACCACCTTCCGACAACTGTTCTTTTACCAACGAATAGTGGGATCAACTGACACATTATAACGCCCCTACGGTTGAAAGGGTGAGCATGTTTGGTGTGACGGGAATTCGAACCCGTAGATTACGATTGAAGCTTCCTAACTACCTGGCCATGTTAGGCCTAAAGGTTAGATGACAGTGGTAGAAAACTTGTGTTATTGCAAGATACAGCTACTAGTTGTCTATTTTCTAGTATAGGCCCATAATTGTCGGTGTATATTTCATTATTTTCCAGGTGGGATAGGAAGATAACTGGGTAATGAATAAACTATTTTTTGTTACCATCAGAATATAGCTTGAATGTATTGTTATTATAGAAACATTTAGTAATATAATTACCGAATTAAAAATTAAGTTGTTATAAACATTGCGACGGGTAATATGCCAAAGTATCGAAAAAAGTTGTAATAAATTCTCTACCAACATTTATGAGACAATTGCAAATTACACTTCACGACGAAAGGTTACAGTCGATCATGCCATCTTGTGGTGGCTATTCAACACCGAGGCTACTTGGAGGTCTTACTAAAGTACCCCCCCCCCAAATCATAATCGATTAAACATTATTAATTCAATCTAGTAGTTGTTAAAGAAAACTAAAATATATAAGAAAGCTTTAGCGATATAAGTCCTTAGACTTCTAAACCACTAGAGGGCGTGGGGGCTATTAGTAACACTTGTCATATTGTTATTGTCTCATTGGTTCAGTATTTTTGGATGTGCCGCAATACTCACGGGCAGGATATGTGTTGAAGGGGGTGGGGAGGTAAACATAACTATATTTAAATAATTAAGTTAACATCAACATATTTCGTAATCTTGAATGTTTGTGTGTATTACTCTGAACGTACAAAATATATCAGGCTACTTTCTTGACAGTTTTAGACACAACGCCGCGCCTACATGAAATTTATTTCTCATTGTCCAAAGTTGAAAACAATATATTTGTTTTTTGAAATAGGAGAGGGCAATTGCCCCTCCCTCTTTAATCCCATCACTGATAATATTTTATTACTTTAATTAAATCTTTGTTAATTTGGTTATCCATGAAGAGACTTCCAGACTCGCGATTTGTTTGTTGTTAAGCGCAAAGCGTCACAATGAGCTCTCTGTGCTCTGCCCACCGCTGGTATCGAAACCCAATTTTGAGAATTATAAGTCCTTAAACTTAGGGGGGAGCTCGCACACAAGGCCATTTTTTAAGAAATCACGATGTTTCAATACTAATCTGTGGAATTTATGTACACATTTACTTGAAAGTTGAAAAATGTATTTTAACATACTTGCTTTGCTGTGCAAAGGGTGTAATAAACTCCCGCTCTTTTGAATTGAAACTCACGAAATAATCTTTGAAAACTGTATATTCAAAGATGACCGTTGATACATGTATGTGTATTCAAGTGTGTTTACAATCATAGTGACTGTTTATATAATCTGTTGGACCGTAAAGTTCAATGCCCTTGAAAACCTATGCAATGTTCGTTTTGATTGGATCTCAGAGTAACATTGAACGAGTTGCGCACTTGAGAAAGCACACGCAGTGTTTTGGTTTGCACTAGAAACAGCTGTTCCTTTTGTAAAAACTTAAGTTGCTTTGTTCAACCGCGAATGAACTACAACATACTGCCGTAGCGTTATGTGACACAGTGAAACAAAGGAAATAGCCCTAGACAAAGATAAACTTTTATTTTCATTTTAAACAGTGTTGTTCTCGTTAGCAGACGAGTGCTTATCAGGTATTCATTTTTATAATAAAAACTGGGTGGATTAAAAACAAGCATGTGCCAAAGGTAGGCCTAACAAGTGGAAGATATTTTGTTTTAAAAATAGTTAACGTAGTACTACTAGTAGTAATAATGTAAAGAAAACTTGACAAATGTCAGTTTTTTATACTTTTATGAATAATAACTAGCTAAGAATTCTCGAAGTGATTATGGATCAATATGTTATGCGACTGAGTAAACGTGACGAAAAAATATTAAAGTAATAATTTAATTATTAAATAAACACTAAAACTAAAACATATAAATATGTGACTTAAGATAGGAATAGGAATTACTTTACACGTTTAAGTCTAATAAAAATAGATCAAAAGTCTGACTTTCGTGCTACATGTTTTCTTGGTGTATGTACAGTGCTTCGTCTAATACTAATAGTTTTAGTCTTACCATTCAAACATTTTTTAAGGTTTATATTCAACATTGACTTACAAAATACCTGAAACTAACGGAAAATGTTGTTGATTCGCTCAAATTTCAGACTTCAGATCTATGGTTATGTTTTAGCATGAATGTTTGGACAAAATGACTGATGTTGAAATAGATACAACACCAAAGGTATGATTATATTGGGTAAAAGTAATTAATGAGTGTATGTTAAGAAAAAAAAAATTAATGGTTATACTGATTCATCGTAAATATGATAATATGGATCTTTGGCACAAGATAGTGATTTACAGTCACTGGTTTTGCAAACTGATAATTAATCTTGCCAAAGAACAAGTTTGCATCTGGTCTTCTGGAGCATAACACCGTTGCTTATAACATTCTAACTGATATTTCAAATATTTTCATTCCACCACTTAGACTACTTGAAAATAGAATGTCCAAACATCTAAATATAATCATTTCAAGTTGATCTACACTCTGAAGAAAATAAAACCAAATTTCCAACCCTTGTAGAAAGAATTTCAGTGGTTTGACTCTTCATTATTCCGACATGTTACCATCATTCCTTTAGTGAAGGAACAAAAGCTGCACGCATTACTCCAAATGATAACTCGGGAGGGACGCTTGCTAAATCTTACAACAACTGTCATGCTTTGTTGCTTGAAATTTTTCTATAAATAGATTCCAGAATTCAAAAAGAGTTAATTGGTAAATTTTCTTGTGG